AAAGGTGATAGGACAAAAGGATATGAGCTATGGGTAGTAAACTGGGAAAGCTTAGCAAGGTCTGTTGGTTCAGATTCCTCTTGGTGTCCCTCTGTCTTTGAAGATAAGAATGCTCTGCCCATAGGGAGGACACCTCTCACATGAGGATCTTGGGACCTGCTTCGGGGAGAAGTAGGAGTCAGAGTCCTTCCTGCACCTGTTGTTTTTCAAATTCTGTTTCTATGTTCCTTCAAATATTCAATACGTCAAGGTGCCATATTTGGGGTAGTATGTCCTGAAGCCCATCATTACACTATGGGGTTCGTAGCATACCTCAACACACCACTCTGTTTCATGCCTCCATATATAGGGACATGCCATGTCACCTGCAACATGTCTGGCTATTCACCATTAAGCTTCTCCTTGACTTATTCGAACTGAGTTAATCAATCTTTTCTTTCATCACCAAATCTGATAGCTACTTCTAGGTACTTAGTAGTAAAAACCCTGAGTTTATTGTGTTTTTATCATTAGTTTATGTAGAGGAGGAAAAAATAGTTTTCCTTCTACCCTTCTGAATTCTTGGCTGGGACCCTTACGACAAAAGACAGATTAATGAAAAAAATGAACAGAGGTCTATTAACACGTATACCTCATGTATACATGTGAGATACCCAGGGAAAAATGAGTAACTCAAAGCACTAGTTTAGAACTCCAAAGGTCTAAAGGTGTCTCCTGGGATTAACTTTTGTCCTTCCTGGTAGGCAGGGGAGGATGGACACCTTTGAAATTTATGTCCTGCTTTTAGGCAAATAGGAGAAGGGCCATGAGGTCTTCTTGTACATGCTTCTTCTTGGTTGCCTTCAGCTCAAAATAATCCTGATGCCAAAGTGGCATATTTGGGGATGGCAAATTCTGCTACATATCATATCATACCATTTTTCTGTAAGATTTTAGAGCAGAGCCTATCTTACTCATTTCTGTACCTCCTGGAGCCCAGCTGAATGACTGGCACAAAGCTCTCAACTAATACCTGTTGAGTGGTGGTGGAGTGGTGAGTGAATGGTAGTTAAAGTAGAATTGGAAAAGGTGGAGTAGAGACAGGGAGCAGGGAAAGTTTATTGCAAAACTTTGGGGCCCTTGTGTTTGCACGTTATTTTGGTTCACATTTTTTACTTTAACGTTTTCAGAGATAGGAAACCTTATAAAAACACATATTACTGGCCTGGGACCAAACAGCCTGTGAGCCACAAAAAGAGTAGTTTAATAGAGGAAGAGACCAGTTGCTTAATGGAACTTGGAATGGAAACCTATTTGGCCACAATGAAAAGGAAACCTGTTTACCGGGAAGGCTGCTAGTTAGGTGCTTGTAGCTTCCTTTGAGCCCAGACTTCAGGGTCTTTTCCTTGCGTTAGGCAATTCTTTGTGCCCAGGTTTGTTATCTGCGAAACAGGTTGTGTTTTGGGATTTAATCAAATAAAACTTTGTGCTTTGATCCTTTTGTTTGAAAAGCATTCTAAAAATGCAGCTGTTCCCAACCTTCAACAGTTGCGTTGGCAATAGCAGCCCCTGGTGGCATAGGATGATTTTCTTTTATTTGTCACCTTGGTGTTTTAGAACTTGGAGGCTCAGGCAGACATTGGGTTAAAAAACAAAATTCAACTGAGTAGATTTTAAAGATCTTATTGGCTCTATTCAATGATTCATGAATCAGGCAGCATCTAATCCAGCAGATAGAAAGGAGCTCCGAGGAGCTACAGAAGATGAAAGATTTTTATAGGCGGCAGAGAGCAGGAACAACGGAGTTATAGTAGACAAAAAGCAGAGTAGTTATGGTAAGGTCACTTTCCTTTAGGGGATGGCAGAGGTCTATCAGGCAGATTATCTAACTAGTGCTAGTACAATTTAAAGTATTCACTCTTAAAATTTAAGAAATACAAATTAAAATAATAGAATATTTTTCATGTATCAGATGGCAAAGATTATAAAGAATAATACCAGTCAATGTTAGTAAGGTTTCATGGAAACAAGTGGGTACAGCCTTTCTGGTGAGTAATTTGAAAGACGTGCTTAATAGTGCTTTCTTTCCACTCACCATGGTTTTATTACTTTTGCCCCTGCGTTGACCATTCTCTCCAACTCCTGTAGGCATACTTAACACAATGTGTAATTTATCTCTAGGTTTGCTTTTATTAGAGCCATGAAAACAATTCTGAATTTGCCTTTTAGAAAATTAATTCCTTTACGGAAAGAAATATCTTATATCTTTTTTTTTTTTATTTTTCCTTTTTCTCCCCAAAGCCCCCGGTACATAGTTGTGTAATTTTAGTTGCAGATCCTTCTAGTTGTGGCAAGTGGGATGCTGCCTCAGCGTGGCCTGATGAGCAGTGCCATGTCCGCACCCAGGATTTGAACCAGCAAAACCCTGGGCCTCCGAAGCTGAGCACGTAAACTTAACCACTCGGGCACGGGGCCAGCCCCATATATATATTATTATATATACATAAAATATATTATTTTATGTATATATAATATATTATAAATTATATATTTTTATTTTTATAATATAATTATATATTATATATTTATATATTGTATATATATTTTATAATTATATATTATATATATTATATAAGTAATATATATATAATATATATATATTTTTAGGAAGATTAGCCCTGTGCTAACATCTGCTGCCAATCCTCCTCTTTTTGCTGAGGAAGACTGGCCCTGAGCTAACATCCATGCCTATCTTCCTCTACTTTATAAGTGGGACACCTGCCACAGCACGGCTTGACAAGTGGTGTCAGGTCCATACCGGGGATCTGAACTGGCGATCTCTGGGCCGCCAAAGCAGAGCGTGCTAACTTAACCGCTATGTCACCATTTCTTTTCTATTATAAAGAATATCTCTTGACTTTAGGCAAACAATGGATAAACATTAAAGTAATCTAGATCAGTCATTCTCAACAGGGTGGCACTACCTTGAAAGGAGTATTTCATTTGTGATAATAATGGAGGGGGAGGAATGGCCAAGGCTGGACAGGCACCAGGGATATAAGTCTTGCCATGCAGGGGACATTCAGGAAGGTGAAAAACTTATCTGTTTGTTATTGTCTGAGCCTGAAATCTAACTCCATTTTACATATAAACACAATGTGTTTTTAGTATGGCTTTAATATGAACAGAACATTCCCAGTTTGCAATTACTGAGTAAAGTGAGGGAAGAATGTTTTTTGTTCTGAGCTTTACCAACCTTTGTTCACATTTCAGAACACATATTATCAGTAGTAACTGTGCTTGCACTGGTGCTTTCACTCTCCTCATCAATATAGCACACTTGTATCAATTTGCATTTGTAAGTCACTGGTGGGTCCACATAAAGATGCAGGCATTTTGCTACTTTATATATTTCCTATCATCTGGTATAGTTATGCCCAAACACTTACACATTGAAATACATATAAATTACTTTCCTTTTATTTTTATTCTAAATTACAATTAGATCATTACATTGATTTTTTTTTTTTTGGGCCCTGAGCTAACATCTGTTGCCAATCTTCCTCTTTTTTTTTTTCTTCTCCCCAAAGCTCCCCAGTACATAGTTTTATATTCTAGTCGTAAGTTCCTCTAGTTGAGCTATGTGGGACACCACCTCAGCATGGCTTGATGAGCAGTGCTAGGTCTGTGCCCAGGATCCAAACCAGTGAAACTCTGGGCCGCTGAAGCGGAGTGCACGAACTTAACCACTCCACCACGGGGCTGGCCGCTATATTGATTTTTAAATTGAGATATAATTCACATGCTATGAAATTCATCTTTTTTTTTTTTTTTTTTTTTTTTTTTTTTTTTTTTTTTAAAATTTATTTTTTCCTTTTTCTCCCCAAAGCCCCCCCGGTACATAGTTGTGTATTCTTCGTTGTGGGTTCCTCTAGTTGTGGCATGTGGGATGCTGCCTCAGCGTGGTCTGACGAGCAGTGCCATGTCCGCGCCCAGGATTCGAACCGACGAAACACTGGGCCGCCTGCAGCAGAGCGCGCGAACTTAACCACTCGGCCACGGGGCCAGCCCCTGAAATTCATCTTTTAAAGTGTACAATTCAGTGGGTTTTAGTATATTCACAAAGTTTTGCAGTCATAACCACTATCTAATTCTAGAACATTTTCATCACCCCCAAAAGAAACTTGGTGCTCATTAATAGTCATTCCTCATTCCCCCTTCTTCTAGCCCTTGGCAACCCATTAACTTACTTTCTGTCTCTATGGATTTGCCTATTCTGGATATTTCATATAAATGAGATCATGCAATATCTAGCCTTTAGCGTCTGTTTTCTTTCACTGAGCATGTTTTTAAGATTCATCCATTTTGTAGCATGTATCAGTAACTCGTTCTTTTTTTATGGGTGGATGATATATTGATTTTTTGGAAATGATATGACTAGTAAGTTATATTATCTATGCATTTCATTTCAGGATAGTAAAGAAGGTGTTAACAAAGTATTTGTTACAGAAAGGAGCATTGGATCAGAGCCACTGATCTAGCTGGAAAGACAAGACACAAGTATATAAAAAGGCTGTTAACTCAAGCAAACACATTATGTTATCAGGGTATAGTTAAATTTCCTTGGACAAAAGGTTAGGACAGGTAATCCTTATTAGGCAGAGATTATATCTGAGTGATGGATTCTATTCAGTCAATGGATTGGCAAGGCCTGGAATGAGATACAGCCATCCAAAAATTAAACTGCCACCGATATAGGATGCTACCCCATCTCAAGTGATCTACACCAGGTGATCTTTCCTTTGAGTAGGCCCTGGGGTGATGAAGGATATCAGCGGAAACAAAGTGAACCTTCTGGAACTTGGGGTGGCAGCTCCCCAAGTTCTGGAGTGGCAACCTAAGGGCATAGGTCTTGCAGAGCGAAGCTGGGAGCTGCCAACACCAACCCCTGGTGGAGCTCCGCCTTCACGTTCTTTACGAGCCTTTGCCCGGGCTGTTGCGGCCCATCTCGGCCGCCGTGGCGAGGCCGCTCAGCTGTAGGGGGGCGGGGCCTCCGCTAAGCATGGCGGGCGAGCTTGAGAGCTGCAAGCCCTTGAGCGGGTTGCTGAGCGGCCTGGCCCAAGACGCTTTCTACGGGCACCCGGGCATCACGGAGGAGCTGCTGCGGAGCCAGCTCTATCCGGACGTGCCAATTGAAGAGTTCCGCCCCTTTCAAGCGAAGATGAGGGGGATTCTTAAGGTACCACTCTTCCCTGCAGCCTCTGGCACGGAGCCTAGTCCCTTCCCCGCCGCCCTCAGGCTTGTCCCCCAGAAAGGCTTTCCCCCAGAAAGGCCTCAGACCTCTACTCCGTGAGCTCCACATTACGCTCCTTCAGATCTGGGGCACTCGCTCTGCTGCCTCTTCTCACTGTGAGGGTGACCCGTCTGCTCAAGCTCCCTTCAGTTGTGTTGACCGACACCCACGGGGGAGGAGTTTGGGCTTTTTCTCAAGATGCTGCTTCTCTGTTGTTGTATAGATAACAGTTTGGAGTTGCCTCGGCGGATCTGTGCGCTCCATACTTTTTAAAATTAGGAGCGATTAAATCAGCTTTCCCGGGTCGTGGAAGTGGGGAGTGTTAAAGCGAGCAAGTGTATGCTGGGGTAAGGGTTGGATTAGCCGGTGTGAACCCCTGTCAAGCAGTGCACTGTATGGTTAAGAGCATATTTACCGGCTTGAAGTTAAAGTGTAGATCACCCAGTCCAGTAGAAATGCGTGAGAACCAAACATATAATCTTAAATTTTCTAGTAGCCACATTAAAAAAGTGAAAAAAAAAGTGAAAGTAATTTTAATGTTTTATTTAACCCAGTATATCCAAAGTATTCTCTCTTCACGTGTAATCAATATAGAAAATATTACTAAGATGTTTTCTATTATTTTTTTTACTAAGACTATGAAATCTGGTGTGTATTTTAAACTTAACGCACATATTAGTTGGACCAGCCCCACTTCAGGTGCTCAGTAGTCACATGGTGACTAATGGCTACCTTACTGAACAACACTAGTTTAGACTAAGAGCTACTTATAGAAATGAATCTAGTGCCAAAGTGTAGCAATAGACTGTAAAAATAATTATTTTTGTGGGCCTGTGTGTTAGGAACTGTATTAGACGTTTTACATTTTATTTAATTTGTTTCTTGCAAAAACCTTATATGGTGGCCACCCATTTTAAAGATTAGGAAACAGGCTGAGGGAGTCTAAGCAGTTAGCCTAAAATCACACTTTGATGAAAGTCTGTTGAAATTTCACTTGCTATCTTTTTTCACTTGCTGTTTGTTTCAAAACTGCTTATGCTTTAAAAAGGCAGTTCCGCTTCTTTTTTAAAAACCGCTTTTGCTTGTAGGATTTGAATCCAGAAAACAAAAAACCCCACAAAGCAATTATTTTACAGAAAATAAGTGGATTGTCTCATAGAAGGAAATGTAAGGGGTAGTGTCTCAGATGTGATCCTAGACATTCTGAGTAATTTTAGCTGATATCATAAATCACTGGTGTAATGCCTTCTATTTCTGTCAAATCTTGCTCTTCAGTGATCAGAAAAAGTTTCCTAGAGAAATTGACGTCTTGCCTGGGTTTCTGAAGTGTTTGCTAGGCCCACAGGGGATGAGGATAAGGGACTACAGGCCAAAAGGTAAGAACAGCATGTGGATAGGCAGTGTCTCAGTATCTCCAGACATTGGGGGCTACTTCTCTCTGGGTGGACTGTATTTTGATTCATTTGTTTTGTTATGAGATAAAAATTGCAAGATACTTAGAGTAGAGGTTGTCTGGAAGCTCTCTCCCTTATTTTATTTTAAATACATTGCTTAATAATATTTGGGTATTTCTTTCACTGCTTTCAGTCTTCTGCCTGAGGATGGGATATTTTAGTTTTCTGAGTAGTTCTGGGTTGAAGAGCTGGTGTTGAGAGTAGAACAGAAGATTTGCCTGTGCCTGGTTGCACAACCTCTGCACAGCTGATCGGTCTGAGGTACCAAAGGCGAAAGCATTTGGTTGTTTGACTTACACCTGACCCTATGGGCCCAAGATGACATGTAGTTCAACCTTCGTTTACCTTACGAGCGACACTGAGAGGGGTAAACGTCTTGCTAATTCTTATAAAAACATAAAAAGCAAACATGCTCTTAAACAAAAAGGCTTTGAGCAGAGATAGAATGTCCATCTGCTATAAAAGAGAACATACACAAATAAGCATGATGCAAGGACGCTATAGTATTTGGAAATAGAGGTCTGAGTAAGCTACTGTGGACAGAAGAGGTACTAGTCCTTTCTGGCAGGTTTCTTGGAGATGCCGTTTTCATTGCTCTTGAAGAAAATGTAGAATATTTTAGACTGAAATGAGGGGCAGTTACATAGGGCATTCTGGGTTAACAGAATAGCAGGGGTGGGGCAGGAAAATGCAGAGCAGGTTCAGGAAATGGTGAATAGTCCAATTTGACCCTTGCTCAGCAGCACCCAATATGGAGTATTGATGGTGGAGGCAAGAAAAAATGAAACAACCTTTTATTCCTTTATTCCTACTAACCTTTATTCTTGCTCTTTAACAGGGTATACTTTTTTTTCTTCAATTTTTTTTATTGTGGTAAAATACACAGAACATAAAATTTGTCATCTTAACCAAAGTGTACAGTTCATTGGTATTAAATATATTCATAATGTTATGCCTTTATCACAACCATCTGTATCTATGACACATTTCATCTTGTAAAACTGAAACTCTATACCCATTAAACAAAAACTCCTCTTGTTTCTGTGGCGTCTCACCAAGGCCCTGGCAACCATCATTCTACTTTCTGTCTTACAATTTTGACTACTCTACATATCTCATATAATCATTAGAATTTTAGATTTGAGAAGACTCAATAGAATTTTCATTAAAAATTTCTGTTTAGGGGCCTGCCCCATGGCCAAGTGGTTAAGTTCTTGCACTCTGCTTCGGTGGCCCAGGGTTTCGCCACTTCAGATCCTGGGCGCGGACATGGCACCACTCATCAAGCCATGCTGAGGCGGTGTCCCACAAGCCACAACTGGAAGGACCCACAACTGAAAATACATAACTATGTACTGGGGGGCTTTGGGGAGAAAAAAGGAAAAGTGAAAAATAAATAAATAAAAAGAAGGCGGGACTTTATTATTTTTTTTACTTCTTTCTCCCTAACACCTAATATTATTTCAGGTATGTGGTAGGCACTTAAAGTAAAAATTCGTAGAATAAGTGAATGAATGGATAGTACTTAAATATGGAGATTGCCATTAAAAAGGTAAGCATAGAGAGAAAACCTACACTCCTTCTATATGGGGAGAGCTCGAAGGTGTAATACTCTAAATCAGAGGGAGGCAAACTATGGCCCATGGGACGAATCTGGCCTGCTGCCCATTTTTAGAAATAAAGTTTTATTGGAACATCACTATGTGCTCTTTCATTTATGTTGTAGGGGAGGAAGACGTTTCCTCTACCCGCTCTGGGTCCTTCTGGCTGGACAACTAGTTAAATTCATATGAGACAGAATAACAGGAGAAAATTAAGCGAAGGTTTATAACATGTATACATGGGAGAGGCTCAGGAAAGCTGAGCAACTAGCTAAAACAGGCAGAAGCTCTCACCTTAAATACCACCCTCAGCTAAAGACAAAGGAGGATGTTGGGGGTGGGGAGAGTCAGTTATGGGAGATTACCAGAAAAGCACAGTAAACAAGAGTAAGGTTATTATGCAGATTTAAGTCCTGGCCTTCTGCATTGCTGAGAGTTTCTAGAGATAAGGTCATCCCCCCTTCTTCTTGGTACAGAGAGGGAGACACCTTTACAGATGGAGATTTCCTTTACAAATGTAAATGTCTCTTTACAAAGGGTAACTTCTACTTCTCAGAGTTTCTCTCATGTCTGCAGTTTTCAAAAGTAACCAGCCCAAAATAATCCTTATGCCGAAGAGAGGTATCTTGGCGTGGCAAATTCCAGTCCCCCACAATGTCTTGTCTTTAGCAGCTTTCACCACTGTAAAAACAGAGTTGAGTGGTTGTGACAGAGATCTTGTGGCCTTCAAAGCCTAAAATATTTACTATCTGAACCTTTACAGACAGTTGCTGACCCCTATCTCAAACATCTGTTCTTAAACTCCTAATGTTTAATGTTTGGAAACAATGTAATATATAAATTAATGTTTTGAAGTTTGTTACTGATAAAATTCTAAAAGGTGGAAATAGGAATTATTTGCTTTTGTATCCTCTTGAGGAATTTCACCAACATGTCCTTTAGGCTCATGAGATCTGTGGTAAATAAAAAATGAGCTTTAATGTTTCTGTAGTATTAATTGTGTGTTCTTAGTAAGACATAGAATTTGAATTTGGATTTTTTTTCATATTCAGAGGGTATAAAATTTATATGTTTATATAGTATAATTTCAAATTTAATGTGGGCTTGCGAATCAAGTGAAAACCATGTGACAACTGGTTTAAATTTATATAAGAAAATAATATCAGTAACATAATATGGAGATTTATAGTAGTGAGAGACTATAAGAAATATTTGTATTTTAAACACCTTGTTCTGTCTTTCTTCTTGAAGCCATGAAAATTTGTAATTTGTTTGAGAATTAGATTGACTGGAAAGGAAAGACCTGTGGTAATACAGTTTTTGTGTATCTTGTAATTGGGGTATGTTATATGAAGGATACTGGATTTAATTTAATTTTTTTTGTTTTGCAAACATTCAGCTACCTGTGTGCTTTCTCATTAATTTTTGTTATAAACATTATTTAACTTCATTAAAGTATAGAAATTTGAGACATGTAAAAATGCATGTAATACCACCTGCCTACATAGCCAGTATTAATATTTTTGTGTGTTTATGCCCCCCACAAGTATTTATTAAACATCTTAATTATATGCCATGCACTGTGCATGGGATACAGCAATATACATCCCAGGTATGGTGCCTCCCCTTGAGAATATAGACATTAAACCAATGGTTACAGGTATTTTGAAAAGGCAGCCATAGAGTGCTCTGTGCCAAGTTAAGTAAGTTATAGGCAGTTTAGAGTAGTGCCTAGCCCAGTCTACATCATGAAGAAAAAAAGAGAAGAGGAGGGGAAGGGGCCTACTTATTAGATATAGTGGATTAAAAGAAAAAGATAGAAATAGCACAGGACTGACTTCCCTTAGTTGTCTACTCAAGGTCCCAAGGTAGAGGTTTCTCATGGATATAG